TTATGTTATACGTTTAGATTGAACTTTTGAAGTTTTATTTAGCGTGAATTTTTATAAATTTGAAGCAATTGCATAGCTAATAGCAAATTAGAGAAAAACGAGATTTAAAATTATTAAATAACAGGGGAAAAAACATTTATAATGGCTGCATCGTTTACATTCATTCAGTAACGTCAACTTTTAACAGGTGTCAACGTCTGTTATTGCACGTATTGCGCTCGTCACCCTGAGAGCGATTACACGCGCGCGATTTTAAACAACGACGCAAACGCGATGCAAGCGCGCGATTGCATCGATACAAATGCGCAATTGCACCGCTACATGCACGATTGCATCGGTGCAATCGCCTATAAATCGCAAGTGTAGCGGTGCAATCGCGCATTTGTATCGATGCAATCGCGCATTTGTATCGATGAAATCGCGCATTTGTATCGATGCAATCGCGCGCTTGCATCGTTGCCTAAAATCGCCGTGTGTAACCATTCTATGACACACAAGTCGATAAGCATTACTGCTAGGCTTAAGCATTACTGCTAGGCTGCAGTACTAGCCTGGACGAGCTCTTTCACAAGGAGGTTTAGTGCTACTAAGATTTCATTCTTCAATGAAATGCATAGGAAATCTGAAATAATAACTTATTACCGCATTGAAGTTAGAGTAAAAGTTTTAGCAATTCGCAGGCTTTGAGGCTACTGGTAAGTACGAGAGGCGGTATGAAATAAAATACGACTATGGTTTCAATTACTTTTTTTCAATTTGAAACATACATAGGAAGTGTAAAAATAGGAAATGAACTCATTATATTATTTTAAAAAAAGTTGTTGCTCCTTTTTAAATTTAGATTTTTTCTTCCGCCATTTTGTTCATATTTGCAACGTAATCAACAAGTGTCACTAATTTTGAAAATAAATTAAACAACGAACTCGTCACGATAGTGGCCAGTATTGTTTTTAAATTGGAAATACTCAAAAGCTATTACTTTTCAGCCGCCCCTCGTATTACATTTTAATTACCTGGCCTCTAACTAGGAAATTCCTTGTATTATGAGAACCAGAACTAATTTAGAAGTTAAATTTCCAAATTGGTTCTATCGGGAATCGATTCACTTCATCCAGCTCCTACAGTACAAACTGTTGACGCCACTAAAGTCGTCTATGGTAATACTATTAAGAGAGGTGCAGTCCAGGAACTGACAGGGTATATAAATAGTAATTGTAAATTGTGCCACTAATAGTGTGCTTCGAAACTATAATTTTATTATATTATGTTCCAGCTGAAGACATGCATATAAACAGACTATAGAGTTTTGTTAATGTAAGAAAACAAAATGTTGAAAAGTAACGTATACTTGTAGTCATCTAAATACACATCCTCTCCTCTGCTCCATTATCCGACTTAAATCAAAAATAGCAGCACAGCACTCATATTTGAACTCATTTCTTAATAACAACGACTCACGACTACATATCCTTGCCTTGCAGTGTTATATAGAATTTACGTTTCTTGGAACGTGTGCGAACACTACATGATTTACCACCAACGGTCTTCCTTTTCTATTTTTTTATAATATCAATTGGTGGTGATGGTGAGCTACACGCTGTCCATAACAGTTGCAGTCACCCTGCGACATCAGTTGACAAGTTTCTTGTACCTGTGAATTCACCAGCAGCCTTACCCTTCAAAACCGAAACACAGTAATGCTGATATTACTGCTTGGCGACAGAAATAGGTAAGGTGGCAGTGCTTCCCTGGACGAACTCTTTCACACAGAGCTCCACCGCTACTTAGTCTAAACGGCACTCCTCAGGCTTCAACATCCTTCTATCCCAAAACTGTCTTAACCTCAAAAGGCAAGATCTCCGTCGGAACACTCCCTGCATATTAAGCAAATTTTAGAACTATAACTAACTAACAATAGAACACGTGTAGAGGTTGAAACAGCCATACATATCACACCATTACAAATAAAGTGACCCATATCAAAAAAATAATATTTTTATTTCATTTTTGCATATTATTGGTTGTTAATCTGAAACTGACTTATTAAAGCTCGAATAGCGTAGAATCTCTACATGGGTCTCTTTCATTTTGTTCGGAATTGAAATCCGCACTTACAAAGACAACACGCCATCACTGTTGGCGAAAACGTGATGGATTACCAATTGAGCCATTTTCGATCTTACGGATCGTCATTAAAAATCATGAAATTTTTATAAACTCGACTTGCTTTATAACTTTCGTTTGACAATTAGAACGAATTAATTTTGATAAGGTCATAATACGACGCTTAGCTGTTTCAAATTAAGGAGACTAAGAGTCGTATTCTAGAACTCTATTCAATGCTCAAGTCAGGATTGCACTGGCAACACAAGCACTGGAAATACGACCCTAATGGCAGGGACTTGAGTATGATTTCGAGTGCTTTGAAACATACTCAAGTCCTGACTTGAGCATTGAGTACAGTTCTAGAATACGACCCTTAATTCTTAATAAGTCAAATGAAATTCAGTAAAACAGTCACCCTACGGTGACTAGTTTTTGTAAATTATGTTTTTAATTTGTTAAATAACAAAACAACCAATTTTTGCAGTTGTAAAGCTTAATGTTTCATCATTATTTTCCAAGACTTAGGCTCAACTCTTGCGACTTGAAAAAAAAATTGGATTAAATTGAGTTAAATTGAATTGGTTGGAATTTGAATTGAATTAAATTGGTTTTGTTTTGGGTTTTTACGAGTGGCGTCCCTGTCCCTATATGGTCCTGGCAGAATACCAGCGTCGCGGGCAGCCGCGTCATTTCTGCTGAGTCAGCGGCGGATTAGTAGAATATATTACTGTCTTACGTTTAAGTTAATATCTGTATCATGTGTCTGTATATGTATTTGTCTTGGTGGTGAATAAAGATTTTATCTATCTATCTAACTCACCCTGGCGCAGGGTCGAAGCGTCACGTCGCGTCCTGTTTTACAACTACAACGCCTGACGACACTCGCATTAGTGCGTCCGGATCACAGTGTGGTCGGCGTCTGACGCCTCACAGCGCTCGTGTAACGCGCGTCGACTCTTGACTCCATATTTGCATAACACAAATTTGCCCCTTAATAATGGGAAAATAGAGATGAATATGCTACAGGCGAAAAACACGACGCGTCGCGACGCTTCGACTTTGCGCCAGTGTGAGTTGAGCCTAACAAGACACAAGAGTAATAAATTAAATATTATGAAAATGTCAATGAACTTCAACCTTATTTTGCATATTCCCAAAAAGTTGAAATTTGGTATTGGGTCCACATGCAAAGATGTACTACAATGCTTCAGCGTGTGGCTAACTAGAGGGCAAAATCCCTTTGTGTTCAAGGAGCAAATCCAGTAGGGTGCACATATTCCTAGAGGAGCTCGGTTGACATACACGACATGCTAAATCAGTGCTACAAAGTCGAGATGCAGATACCAAATTCTAACAGACTCTATCTGCTGTATAATATTGTAGAGAAGATTTAGCACTAACCAGGAATGGAACCAAATGACCACCACAGTAGTAGTAGCAGAAGAGGTCCTTGTGAAAGAGTTCGTCCTGGGTGGTACTGTCATCTTACCTACTTCTGCTGCCAAGCAGCAATGTCAGCATTACCGTATTCCGGTTATGAAGGGTAAAGGTACTGGTGAAATTACAGGCACATGACTTATCGACTTATGTCCCAAGGTAACGAGAGCATTAGCAGTACTCCTCAGATCTTTGCGATTTAAAGCTCTTAGTGGCACTGCAATTGTTATGGACTGGCATGTGTCTGATCTGACCACAGGTTAAATGTAGCAGAGACTGTTGATTCTACCATGAAAGGGATGTGAATCCTTTGCAGCTTTTTCGTCAACGTTTTAATAAGCACGTGACGAGAGCGAGATCAAATTAAAACAATTTGATATATGTGTTATAAAATGAAGTCAACAAAATCCCTCAGTTCTACTAAACTTTCAATAACACAGAAATCCACAAACACCAGGAAGTAACTACCGCCAACGAAGAGATTGCCAACTCAACACAGAGATACCGGGATCTGCTGGAGAGGCACCCTAATGCCCTGACAACACAGTTTGTGACTCGGAACTATAGCAAACGACTGAGAAGGAAAGACATCCTGTAGAGAGAGAAATTGTAGGAGATGTCCTTGATGAAGGACACACTCCACACACAATTAAATCTGAAACACATTTGCTCATAGTGGAATGCGCTGGTTGCAATTAAACATGAAAAAAAAAAGTTCTACTAAACAACTTGTTTTTGGGTACAAGGTCTTGAATGAAGCCATATTAATAATGTAATGTAATATAACTGAAGATAAACAAATTCCAAATAAAATTATTACTGACATTTTATTAATTTTCCAATTCTTCAGTTCTTTGTTTAAACAAAAAACAATGACTAATCATTGAAACACTTTTAGCAATATATACGACAATAAAATATCATTATCTACAAAATGATAAGCTTTACGTTAATGTTGATAAAATTGTAGATTTACACCTATATTATGTCACCATGCATAATGAACATTTTAAATTCAGCCCTATGATAATAACTGCAATATATTAATTTGACAGACAAAATCATTATCATAGAAGCCTTCATAATTCTGCCTATACATAAACCAGAAACAAGTAGATACCTATATAGAATTACATCTATAAACGAGGGTAGAGTGAAATTAACTGTTGCATCTTGCACAACTCCACATTACAACATGTGTATCTGTTATGGAGTGCTGTAACACAAAAGTATTCTGTTGTGGGCGACGCGCACACAAAACCTTGACATAAAAGAACAAGTACACTATTTATAAGTATGAACATGTCTGCATAGCAGAGACGCAATCATACACCAGCGCGCATGGAGCTCCCGTTCAGACTGGAGAGGCCAACGGAAGAAATATAAGAGAAATACTTCGCCATCTGATTAGTAGGCGTATCACTACTGACCTAATACGGTCGTAGCTTGCAACTTACCTGAATAAACTGTATTGTGATGGCACTTTTCCCGACTCCGCCTCCGCCTACCACCACTAATTTATAAGTCTGAGCTTGGCTCGGTCTTTCACCACTGCGCGACATTTTTCGCCCGCACAAAAACACTACTGCGGAATTAAAAATGAAAATAAAACAATTTCTTTTCACAGCTCTGCAACAGTGAACAGTTTGGTGTTACTATAGTACACAAAGTAGGTACTCTGTCTGTGGTTTGGTGAGTGACGATTTTTTTTTATCGTCATGAATCCCAAATATTTTTCTTAATTTTTTGTTAGCCTTTTGCAGTTAGTGTTTCAGCCAGTTACAAAGTGTTTTCATTTTCACTTGTTCTTTTAATTGGAAAAACTTAATTTGGAAACGGGAAGGAGAAAGAACGAAAAAGGGATTAGCGCGATCAGTGTTACCATAAGCGGAATATAATATAATGACGTCTGTCGTACTCTATGAGCTTAGAGGATGAATAAAAATAAAAGAAATGAGTTAACAAATTTGTCGTAGTATCATTAGAGATCGTGAATCAAAACACAAAAATTATAATATTGTAATAATTTATTTCTCAGTTTTTATTTATTTAATAACAAGAATCTCTTTTTAGACTTAACAATGCTTGGGATTTGAGACTTATAACAACAAGCTATACAGTTTACTATGCAATATGTAAGATCATCGTGTATGTCCCATATTCCGTGTGTATTCCATTATTTCATCGTACAGGATCAAGAGCACGTCAAGCCTGACACTTAAGACTTAAATTCAACTCTATGCAGCTTACGATAAGAACGGTGCAAAGTACAAAGTATCAAGCTTGACATGCTCTTGACGTACATGCTTTTTAAATCAGTCATTATTTAGTCAGTACATGGTTATGCAATGTTAAATATGGGATACATTTAGTACCTATGTATTATGCTGATAACACGTGCTGTACTTTAATACTTAGGGTCGTATTCCAGAACTCTACTCAATACTCAAGTCAGGACTTGAGTATTACAGTGAGCACTAAAAATCATACTCAAGTCATTGCCATTAGGTCGTATTTCCAGTGCTTGAAATCATACTCAAGTCTGCTCAAATCCTGACTTGAGCATTGAGTAGAGTTCTAGAATACGACCCTAATTATGCTTAAACTAAAAAAACTAAACGCTTAAAGAAGTGCTACAGAGGTGCGGCTACCGCGCCACAGTCGTGTCACTGCTGAGTTTCTATATTTATGTGTCTAATTTGAAGGCGCGCCCTGAGCCTGTTCCGAAGGACGAAACCATCCTATCCACCTTAACGAGCATCGGCATTCATAAGACATTAGTACAATTCTAAAAATAGAGGCGTAAGAACATTTTTTTTAAATACTTACATAATTAAAATCCAAACGATTTTAATAAACAAAAGCGATTTGTTTTATTACGCGGCTAAAAGAACTTTTTTTTTTTCATCCTTATTGAAGTATGGCAACAGTGTAAAATAAAAGCCGGGTTTGTTTGACAGTTGGCGGGAGTGGTTATGGTTGATGGAAGTGACAATGGTTGACATGACAACTATGTCGCGGGGCTGAGTTTTATTAAATTGTTGTTAAGCTATTCACTGAGTCTTCCAACTCTGACATTGGCGGAATCGAAATATCCATACAAAACAGTCAAGTTTTGAGCAAAGCTGTGAAAGCTGAAAGCTAAAGTAAAACAATATGATCAAAATATCAGCACTGAATAAGGAGTCTGAAGAGGAAAGCCGCTCTGAAGAGGAAGTTACACGCGAGGCGCTCGAACAAATAGCACTGCAGCAGTATGCCAAAGCTCTCGAGTTGCAGAGGAAAGGAAATCTTTCCGATGCCACACAGCTCGTTAAGGACCTGCTCGACACGGAAGTGATATATGAAGTCAAAAAGCCTGCTCCGGGTGAGAAAATTACAGGGCCTTTATTTAATTTAAAGTACCTATGTTACAAGAACTTGGCATCTATGTTAAGTAATGCTGGCGAAGTGGAGGCAGCTATTGACGCATACTGTGCGGCTACGGAGCTCGACGATACCGACGTGACCCTCTGGCATCGTCTGGGTCTACTTTGTTTGCGTGCAGAGCGTTATGAAATGGCACTGCAAGTATTTCAGCGTGGCACTGAACAAAACCCAAAACATTGGCCTTGTCTTGACAAAATAGTTACCCTTCTCTTTGCACTTGACTATAAAGAAGAATGCATATCCACCATATATGAAACTTTACACTTGGACCCTGGCTACATGCGAGGTATTGTGTATAGAAAGCACATCTACTCTACTTACCCACATTTACGAGAATTTATGGAATACCTTAATCCTTTTTATAAATGGAATGAAACTGATGATGATGTGATTGATGAAGAAAAAGCAGAGAAATTATTAAAAGAAGCTCAAAACATAAAGGATATATTTTTGTCCCAACAAAACGCTCAAAAGTTTGGGTGTGTATTACCAGTTTTGAAATTAAATAAACCAATTACAAATCTAACATGGGAGGCTGTTGGTGAGTCGCTCATACATATGCACCATTACATTGAAATAAATGCTTACAGCCACGCTTGTCCTATTGAAATTATTTATGAGAAACAAGAACATGTAGTTGAAGTAAATGAAACTATCAAAGAGACTGAACAAAAAGACTCTAGTCCAGAAGAAAATCAAATTGATATTGATAAAATGACTGAAAGTGTTACAGACAATGAGAATAATGATGCTTCAGATAAAACAGTAACAGATGAAAAAAATGAGACTGATAGGGAAGCTCCGGTGCAAGGCATGGCTTCCGAATCAGTAACAGAGCCTACAGCTGAGAATACACCTGAACCTAAAAAGAGATCAGTAGCTCGGAGACGGGGCAGCGCATTGAGCTTTTTGGAGCAATGGGAGTGGTGCACCAAGCGAAGATCAGGACGTAAAAAAACAGCAAATAGACAAGATGATGACAACATATATGAGACATTACGTAGAATGGTGCCAGCTCATCTGGCTCCAGATGCTGTTCAAAAAGAAGACAAAAATGTTAATGCTACTGTTACTGAATTTAGTCTAGAAGTTGAAGAAAAAAGCAAGAATTTTAAAGATGAGCAGTACTTTGGTACTGATAATGAACAACAAGACATAAAGCAGTTCATCACTAAATTTACAGAAAGTAAAAAGGACATTATAGACATGCTACGAGACTATCTTTGGCTTTTATGTCAAAAGACTGGTAAATGGCCAGAATCTCTCCCAAAAGTATTTACAAAAGCCAATGAATGCTATAAATCTCACATAGACATCCCTGCATGTGTAGATGATAACCATGATGACCTGATCCATTACACTTTGGTGAATTTGCTAGTTGAAGAGTTTTCTGTAAGTGAAAAATTACTTGTGATGACCACAGAAGACAAACAAAAGCACGACATAAGTGTGATTGAGTCTATAGGAGTAATTATAACCTTAAAACCTTATATCTTCACAAATCCTAATATTCTAGAGCTGACAATTCGTCACCACTGGGTTAAATTACACATTCACATATTGAACAAGTGTGATGAAATTGCATTAGATTACCTCTACCAACTCTCATATGAGTTTGAAGCAATGGGAGAACATCAAGAAACATTTAACTTGGTTAATGACAATTTTGCGTTCAAACCAGTGATCAATCAAAGTGAAATTAGCGCTTATATCAAATTTCTTGAAAGAAATAAGAAATTATCAAAAGTCATGGAGTTATATGAAAGAGGTTGTTATGAGGAAGTTTTATTGATAGTCATTGATTCCTTTGAGCACTGTAAAAATCTTGCCAAAAATCAAGAGGAGGAAATGTCTTTGGACTTTGCAGTTCAGTTGTCTCTAATATTGGATACACTCTGGGCACTTGATAGAGTTGACAGCTGTTTAAAATGGTCTTTAATTTGTTTACATGAGGCTTTGAAACATTACTTTCGCCTAACTTCTGCTTCCTCAGATTATGACAAATGGACCATGGCTGTAGTTAAGATACTAAGTTGTATGGAGCACATACTTACTAATGAAGGTTTGACATGTTTGGACTCTGCATCTTCAAAAGAATTGAGTCAGGGTCTCGAAGATCTCATTAGGATAATAGGTCATCAAGTCGAGACTAATGCAGCAGAGATGCCGTTTGGGACAGTCGTTCCCTGGATTATTTTGCATTATATTTTGCAAAGAGAAGAAGACCAGGGAAGGGGCAGGGCAGCTATTGACAAGGATAAATTGTTTGAAGAAGTCCCAAATTCTTTAATGGTGCTGTTCATAGCACACGAAAATCTCGGTAATAGAGAATGGTGTTGCAAATCTGATGGAAAGCTTCTGTACTTTATTTTGGACACTGTTGTACCTAGATTACGGTCTCCCTACTTGTCCAAATGTTTGGAACAAGTTTGCCAGTACATGGAACAGTGTGTGTACTGCTTATATGGACATCCTGGAAGAAAGAATAAGGTGAAATATTTAGCTGATCACAATGTCACGCCATTCAATTTTGATTGGAAAAGAGCGCAACAATTGTACGAGATATTCAGGCCGCCAACATTACCTGTACTGGAAGGAAAGGTTTCTGGAATCTCAGGTGATACTGAACAACTATTTCGCAACATTCTTACGTTGCTGCCAATGGAATGCGATCCACAGAAGTACATACCAGAAGTCGAAAAATATATCAAAGGCATAGAAGATAAATTGCCAACTACACCACCTCTTTTGCCATACAAAATGAAAGATATTTACTTTCTTTTAGGAGACTACTATTTTAAGAAGGACGATGTGAAAATGGCGATAAAATATAACATATTGGACGTGGTGGTGAATAAAGACAGACTGGAATCATGGGCCGAAATATCGCTGGCTAAAGGCGTGAATTTGGAAAGAATACTAAATTCTTGCAAAAATCTTAATAATGAGAGGGAGATTTTAAATCCAGCAAAGGCAATTATTAGATGCTACAAACGTTCTTTGGAGATTGATCCGACACATTGTAACCTGTGGATTGAGTACGGCATTTTTGCGTACACTATACATTCATTTTGTTCGCGTGTTCTGAAGCAAGCCAGCGAATCACTTAGTATGGAAGATTTTGAATCTTTAGAAAAACAGAAGGAGGAATTATTGGATACTACTTATAAATGTTTTATGGCTGCGTTAGATCTTAACAGTAACGATTCTGAAAAAGCGAATGAAGACCTTTGGCTATTTTATTACATGTTGGGTAAAATAGCAGAAAAGCGTAATAAACCACCATCTGAATATTTAAATTATTACATGCAAGGGGTGAAAAGTTTACAAGAAGCTGAAGCCATTTACCCCTTGAAAATCAATTACAACTCGCCAGCACACTCATGCATAGAGGTCTTAGAACTGCACTATAGAATTCATGCGTCGATCTTAAAATACATAGAACAACACGAAAATAAAACAATTACTTTATCAGTTGGTAAAGTATTTTCGTCATGTATTGAAGAGTGGAAGAATGGACCTTTTTCAAAAAAATTTAAAAAGGAAATCGGTGCCAACTCAGAGGCGCAACTCGAAAAAGATGCAAAAACAATCCGTGAGCCTATACATGCAGCCAATATTCTAAAACGTTCTATAAGTGATGTCGGTGAAGAAGATACACAAGAAGGGAAAAAGTTGAAATTGGAAGCAGCTGCTGCAAAAGTAAAAAGATCTGCATCTTACGACACGGAAAGAGTCAACACAGAAACGTCTACTGAAGATGAAGCCCAAAACACAGAGCCGTCAAATAAAGTACCAGAACATAAGAAAGTTGGTATTTTATCAGAACCTATGAAGCTTGATACTGTACCAGAACCTAAAGAGGTTGATACCTCACCAGCACTCAATAAAACGGATACAATTACACAGCCTAACAAAGCAGATGCAGTACCAAAAATTAATGAATCCGGTTCCATTACAGAGCCTAACAAAACTGATACAGTAACAGAACCTAACAGATCTGCTGATATTGTACCAGAGCCTAATACAGCGGACATTGTACCGGAGATTAAGAAAGTAGAGTTTTCAACTGACACGTTTTATGAAAAGAAATATTATACAGAAACAAAAATTGATCAGGACATCAGCGTCACAGAGAAGCAGTTGCCTGCGGAATGCGATGACATTGACACAGATAAGAAAGAGAATGGCAGCAGTAGTTCATCTTCATCATCCTCTGATTCCAGTTCTAGTGATAGTTCTTCTGATAGCAGCAGCGAGTCCAGTCGTGACAGCGACGCTTCTTCGAAATCTTGTAATGATAAAACACTGCCTGAAGAAGAAATTACGCAAATTGTGATTGCTTGTATCGAAGCCTTAGAGGATTGCGCCTGTCGTTTGTCTCCTCATTATAAAGCCATCTATAGGCTTGCTCATTATCATTTTTATAATAAAAAAGGAAAAGACATAGAAAGGTGTAGAGATCTGATGTTATCAACGTGTATGTCGAGAACTGGCCAGAAACTAGGAGGGTTGTTTAGTGAAAGAAAAACATCTAATTTTTTTAATAACGTTTGGAAAATTCCTAAACCTGAAGTAGACAGAGCAGGCGGATTCGCGTTTCATATGAGTCGCTCAGCCCAACTGACTATGGAAATACTTAAAGAAATCGACGACCACAAAACCTTATTAGACTTGAGTCTATATTTACAAAGAATACCAGAACCAGATAAAAAGTATTTAAGAGACTCTGATCGGGAGGAACTAGCGCAGCAGGCGTTTACTTTATGTGTCCAATCTTTGAAAGGGCAACTACAAAAATTCAGCCAGCAGTCAGATCTAAAGAGTAATGAAGTAGAAAGACAGGCTCTTAAGAGTTTAATGTTGGATATATACAGAGCATATACGAGATATCACAAGCAATTGAGCCCCAACATCAAATCTACTCATTTCACGAATTTGCTCGTAGACGCTTATAAACTAATTACTACTATACCAATAGCTGATAACTTGGATCTCGTCGATTTAAGTACAAAATATTGTCACTCCTTGCAGCAAACATTGAGACAACAAGCGGCACAAGCTAGTTTGGACAAAAGTCACCAACAACAAAAGAAACAAACAGCTAAGATTGCTTCCACTGCCAGTTTTGCCGATCCTACAAAGCTGATAACTGCTCATTCAACTACTACCGTACCCAAGACTAATTCTACAGACCTTAAAACCACTATGGCTTCTATATCTACCGGTTCTACTTTGCCTAAAATGTCGGCACATGAAATGACTGCAGCGTTCCAAAGTTTCCTCCCCGTCTTGAACGATCCCATATCACAACAGACAGCAGCAGCGCTCAGCTATCTGAATAATATAAGCGCGTTAGCGAGTTATTCTTCTCTTCAAAGTACGTTACAATCAACGCTTCAAAACTCTCTTCAAAATTCATTTCAAGCTGAATTTTACCGTCAGTTTTTGAATCAAAGTTTATCATCATCCTACTTACCGCCACCAAGGAAGCAGAAACGTGGTCCCAAGACCGCTAACACGTCACGTCCTGGTACTTCAAATACTTCTCAGGCGAAATCGTTCAGTAGTGCTTCCACCACCTTCACTAGTAAAACTACCTCGAATACTGGAGTGTCAATTTTACAAAAATCAAATTCAGCATCTCTTGCTCCGACTATGGGAAAAGTTTTACCATCATTGCCCGCGTCGATGACTGCTAATCTTTCGTCTTTTGGAGCTTCTACTTCTAACGCTCAAATTAACACTTGCATGCCGTCTCAGGCCCACATGTCAGGTTCAATGACGACTGTGAACGCCGCTATTCACACAAAACCTCCCTTGCCACACGAGCAAGTAAGCCCTGGTAAAACGTTGCAAGAAAAATTGGCTGAGCGACAGAAAAATCTGCCTAATATGTCTAAGGGGAATAATTTTGTGGTTAACAGGCTGCCGGCTTCTTTGACTATTAAAAAGACTGTGGTGCCTAAGCCTGCTGCTAATTCTGATGAAGTGATTGTCCTCGATGATGACTAGTTTTATTGTCATTATTTGTAACATTTCTGCCAGAAATGAAATATTTTAAATAAGTCGTCTAGTGCCTAGATTTTCAATGTTTGTATAGCGTCAATTATTTAGAAAATGGCTTGGTGATTGACTTTAGTTGTGTGCCTTTTTAAATATAACTTGTGCCGGATTAAATTATGGGACAGCAATGAGGTCACGTTAGGGATGTCTATGTATTGGTCAACTCATCCTGAATATTTTAAAACACATAGGGAAGTCATTGAAACGTTGTTGCCATAAAGTAACTTATAAGCATACCTGCTACCAATTGAAATTAGAATAAAGTTTAACAAAATTGTTACAAAAAAAATTGTAAAATTCCCAAAATGTTTTTGATACATTGCTTCTACAGTAATAAAGAATATTTAAAATTTACAAATACCAATTTATATTAATTTGAATTGCAATTAGCTGTAGAGAGCAGATGTGATATTCATCTGCTTATAGGTTTAATACAATTTTTATACTTTTACTTAAGATTTGTATTGTAACTGTAATTGCTATATTCTGCCAAATAATACAACAATTTTGAAGATGTAAGGAAAATAAATTACATAAATTCATCATGATTTTTTATTTATACAAAAAATATTAAGTTCCATATTTACAATGTATTTTATGTAAGATAATACATACAGTTATGGATATACAATTAATGTATTTTTAACAGGATAATAATTTTGGTTTTTAACAGTTCATATTCTAAGTGAACATAAGTACTGGTTAATATCATATCTTTAAATATATTGTTATAAAAATATTCCAATTATGAATAATACAAGTTACTGCCTAAGCATATTGTGTCGAAATGCTGTTTCTATGAAATGTGACATGACATTACGCTTCATGTCAAGATTTTCATATAAAAATTGCTTTTCCTAATTACGTAATTTTTAGTGTATATTTTTTCATGGACATCATAGCTTCACTTACTCGTAGATGCGTATCTGTTTAACGTAACACTATAATTGTTTAACTGTAGGCAGTTTTATTATTAAAACCTTTAAAATAACATGACAATGGGGCGAGTTATTATTATATATATATAATAGTTATAGGGCTATAGGACTCTGTGATGGTAGAAATCCATCAGCATGTGGCTCAAGTTCCAGCCGGCCAGCAACGAGCCGAGGTACGCGATGAATAGCACCGGCAGCGGCAGCAGGAATATTCGCGTGTTGTGAAGAGTCGGCAGATCTGTAAAATAAACAACTTTATTACTTTGCATGAATCGCTATGCATTTTGGGGTCTGTATTAAACTGTTCCTGGATCGATGACAAGATCTCGAGTTTTAAATATTAATTTTGTGCATATCAACAATTACATACAATAATACACTACGTATGTACACAATGAAAAGGGTTAGCAGAGGTAAGTATTTGTACTACATACAAAGTAGTGAGAGATGTGGGCGAGGAATGTGTGCAAAACGGTGTAGGAAACTAGAGCTACTGAAAGTATGACACTAACCTCCCCATCGCCACCGCTCACCCCTCTACACTGTACCCCGCCCGCGCATAGCTGATAAGAGTCTAACGCATCCTCTCACCGCCTAGCTACCCCGCACAGCTTGGTGGAAAGGCAGCCTAAACATTGGACTTGGCAGCTGTTTATTAGTACAAGCCTTCGTAAGTAACCTAGAAGTCTTCGGCAATGTGGTGCCTGAGACTGCCAAAATGCACAAGGAGGCAAATCTACAAAACCTGTAACACGTATCCCGATTGTTATGTTCGATAGCCCTGACCGTTGTACGCCATGAGTGATGTCTTATACAGGGTGTAATCGTTAAATGTGCCCAAGCGATTATTCCGTAAATATGGGATATCAAAAACTTTTAAACTGATATCGAATATACGTAGCTAATGAGTTAAACGATTACAAATTTAAAAAAAATATAAAACTAGTAATATCCAACATTTTAACGTTAAGCGATTTAACATGACATTCTAGAGAGGCAATAGGTACAGATAACAAAACTGCTATAAATAAAGGAATAAAACTATCGTTTAATTGAATAAAAACAGAGTGATGTTTATTTTTAAGTAAAAAATACAAAGTTTTTTATGTAAAGCAATTGTTCGAAACTAAAGTCTCTATACGAATGTTAGATTATTTGTACGGGTTAAGGGTTACATAGTGGGTATTTTAGTTTTATTTAAAAAACTTTATTGATGTCATCATACCATTACGTACTTTCGATATCAGTTTAAAGGTTTTTGATATCTCTTGTATTTGGATAATTCTTACAAAATTCCGAATTTTTTGTCCTTTAGGTTTTTACAAAGAAAAAAGAAGTATTTGATTCAAGCCGTAAAATTAAATATTTAATAAAATTATAATTCAATTGCTACTAATGCCTACATAAAATATTGATTATTCTATTTAAATAAAAATTACGTACGTAGCCATCTTGAATACTCCCTCCCAGGTGTGGAATCCTCATTATGATGTGTATTCCGCACGAATAAAAGGTATCCAAGAGATTTCTACGTTACTTGCAGTATCGAGCCGGTATATTTCTGCCAGACTATAAGACTAGGTGTCGCAATTTTCACTTTCTGCCACTATACAAACGGAGAGAAATGGCTGATTTGATTTACCTAACTAACATAGCAAACGGCACTGTCGATTGCCCCGAACTCCTTGAGGAAATAGGACTACGCAGAAGCAAGGTTGTACTGAGAAATCCTATCACACTTTACGTTCCTAGGGTTAGGACAAATTATAGACAAAATGCATTATTAAATAGAGCGTCTCGCTCATTAACTCCTTAATTAATACACACATCAAAAAAAGTTTGCGATCACTTCGAAAAACTGAAATCTTTTTTGTTACTGTAGATTATATTATGATTTTTTCTTCTTTTTAGATTCTTTATTTAAAAATAAATTAGAACATAAAACAATGACCCCGTTCAATTGTTTTTTCATATAAAAAGGCTTTCAGTCCTAGCTTACGCTCATTCAGAAATCTGATTTAGTCAATTATAAGCGATTCAAGATATTTTTCGCGGAAAGTTGTGATTGAAAAAATGCCAAGAGGATTATCAGAGGTTTTACGAGCTAGAATAGTAACTTTGAGGGAAGAAGGATACACCACGAGAGTAATAGCACGCAGACTTGCTATATCCCAATCCTGTGTCGTGGCTACGTTGCAGAGGTATCACGGAATGGGGAATTTAGCTAACCGACCCCGCAGCGGTCGCCCAACTGTTTTGACTGCTGCCCAAAAGCGCTATATTAGATTGCTGGCAGCCCGTGATCCTACAATCAACGCCACTAAAATAAAAGCAGAAGTCAGGGCCGCCTCTGGGCTTGAAGTTAGCACGCAGACCGTTCGCAATTGCTTGCACCAGGCTGGATTACGAGCACGGAGGTCTTGGCGAGCTCCGCTCAATTCCCGGCAACATCAACAACGAAGATTGCAGTGGGCTAGACTTCGGCAAAATGAAGAAGGTGAGGACGAAAACATTTGGCAAAACTGTCTCTTCGTTGACGAATCCCGAATCAGCACTCATCCAGATAACCGACGTGTCCGTGTCTGGAGAAGACCAGGCGACCGTGAAAGACAAAGAACTGCCACTGGAACAGTTCAGCAAGGCGGAAAATCGGTGTCCTTTTGGGGTGGCATTATGATTGGAGCTAAAACGCCTTTAATCCCGTATCGGGGCTTCATGACAGCAGACATGTAGAAAGCAGTTGCTATTGATGATATCGTCAGACCATTCCGAGTAAACCATGGGCACCAATTTGTACTGGTCGATGATAATGCGCCCGCACATCGAGCTCAACGAGTCAATGCTGCTCTTCAAGAATACGATATCACACGATTAGACTGGCCTGCCGGCTCGCCCGACTTAAACCCAATAGAGCACGCGTGGGATGCTCTTAAACGAGCAGTATGGAACCGTGAGCCACGTCCCCAGACAGTTCCAGAGCTCAGGGAAGCCGCTATTGAAGAATGGGATAGGTTACCCCAGGAAATGCTGGATAACTTGATCCTCAGTATGCCCAGGAGGATCTTCGCATGTATTCGAGCCAGGGGAGGAGTTATTTTATATTGAATTCACACCTTTTAATAATAAATTGTTGTTTAAGTTTAATTAAACAGTCTTTTTCTTTCTATGAAATTTCTATCACTATTACATTATGATTAATGGCTCAATTTTTTAAAATAAATAATAAAAAATAGTTTTATATTTTAATTTCAAACAGGGTATTCCTATTTAAAGAAAGCATACAACATAGATTTTTTCTTGATAAAGTTAAATTTATAGAATTATAGGAGCTTATGCTATTGATCGCAAACTTTTTTTGATGTGTGTAGATATGGTGAGGTGGACTTATTCAACACCAGTACAAGTAAACTAAAACGCTTACTCAGTGATATGTTTTTTTCTTCAAATATGTCATACTGTAACTGCTTAACGCATTGACTTACAAATATATGGACGACGGGTCTAATACAAAAACCACGAAGTCAGTTGCCCTGTATGCACCATCTATTAGGAGGTTATCTATGGTTTAAATTAAGGATTAACGTTAAATAAAACGTTTCGCATAATGGGAACGCGCCCTCACTAACACAACAATAACAATGAATACAAAGTAGTATAACTACTGCTTGTCTAAATACAACAAAGTCAAGTAAAACAATGTTACAATTGTTTCAAAAGAAATTCATCGACACTGTCATTGACTTAGAAATAAATGGACGACGGGTCTAATACAAAAACCACGAAAAAAATGTCCCAAGTCAACATATTTAAACGTAGTGACATGTAAAGGAATATGAAAAAGCTAAAACATTGAATTTAAATTGTAATATCATCGCAGTACTGTCTAATTTTGCTTGCTTCGCTGTCAGTCGAACAAACGAAGACTAAAGCGTGAATGACTCTCTGTATACGATTTTAACGCCCTATAAGTTCGGGCAACTTACTTTGTAGTTTGTTTCTATCACTTTAAATAATTATCTGTGGAAACTTTTAATTAGCCCTCAGCATACATGCACTGGCCTGTCAGGCGTGTATTATACTTTATTTTATTCTTGTTACCTAGCTGTAGGTTTTCCCAAAAGAATGAAAATAAAAAATAATGAAAACGTCCTCAAAATCTTTCCCTCACTATGTCCCAAGTTCATAATCAAACACTTTCTGTGTTTAAAATCAACACATTTAACAAATCTAACCTTTGAATATTAAACTTTCAATGTAATAAAAAATGTTTAAAATAAAATATATGTAAAATACTCTCTTCATTTTTTTAAAGTCATTTATTTTGGGGACCACTATATCATCAAAAACTATTGACGTAAGTATTATGAAATTTGCAAAAAATAAATACAAAATCTTCTTAATAATTTTCATAAAACTCGAAAGCACGAATTTCGGAATTTCACGAGAACTGTAAATGGGTTACGGAATAATCGCGTGGGCATTCTTAACGATCACACCTATATATACACATCAAAAAGTGTCAAGGGATATAGCACGTTTTTGACTGAAAATTAGGTTTTAATTTTTTTTTAACATCGATGAATTTTTTGGTCACTTATAATTTGAATTTGAAAATGAAATTAACAAAAAAAACAAACTATTGGTGTTCAAAATAATTAAAAAATCTTATTTTCAGCAATTAGCAAAAACGTGCTTGATACCTATACACTGACGAATGTTTATCCACTACTCCTACGTAATGTATCGTAAGCCACAAAAATGGGTACGTACATTATTTTATAAATAAATTTCTTTTTATGTAAGTGTATTATACCCAGCTGTAAAATTATAAAGCGTGAAAAATAATTAGAAAGATAGACAAAACGTTTATTCACCACAAATACATATTCACAAGATATAACACGAAAGCACAAAGAACATACATGAGTGCACGTTGATATACACATACTTACAGAGAAAAACAAAATTATGTACTGGTCATACTCGATTTATAACATTTTGTGCTGCAATTGCGCTGACTCAGCATAAATACTGTCAAACAGAGCAAGTAGAGCTAGTTCTGCCAGTACCATATGATGAACGATCGATACCCAGTAAGCCATGCCACCAGAGTACATCACACGCAAATACATATGACTAAAATTATGTAAATACGGTTGAATGTGGTTAATACCAATATAAGTAGTGTAAGTCACAAAACAATAAATACAGTAGAAGTGGTTAGTTAGCGTCGTACGCGTGCCAACAGTCGGTCGCGTCAGACCTACTTGAGCTAAGTCCCCAATTTTCTCTTTGTATGGTATGGTTGTGTCATTCTATCGCGCAAATTCTCTAAAATCGTAGAAAATGCCTTTTGTGCTGTTTTGGAGCGCAAAAATGGTAGCCGTACCAAAAATATTACTCGTATCAAGTCTTATTTTCAATAAATTTAAATTTTCTGTTTATCGAAATGATATTTAGTACTGTAATTTTTGTAATGTGATTTTTAGTAAACATCTCGAATTCACAGTTTAGTGAAAAAAGTTTCATGAGTGTTTTGTTAATTTTAAACTTAAATGATCGAAATTAAAGTTCATTGTGCAAAGTGTGCATTAAAGAAGGCATCTGATGTCGAGAGGGTATTACTTTCTATTCGTTCAGATGTTAATCGTTCCTCGTAGTCCAGCTACGAGCCCCAAGAAGGCAGCACGTTGAATAAAAGGTTTTCCATCCATTTCAACGATATGGCGACTGAGTAAAGTTTAAATTATATTAACAATCCAGATATTGTTAAACCTTTTCATTTTTTTAAAAACAGCCTGTGCTATACATTTACGTTTTTATACGATTACGCCTAGTTTTACTTATTGTGTGATCGTTTCACTTACCATTGTCAACAACTTTGCCATAATCTGAAAGCGAATGTTAAGTGGTTTCATAGTGCAACGAAGTATATAACAAGTGTAGCATGTGCCATGGGTATTATTTATGTATTTAAACTTTATTATACAATACACTGAAGTACAAATGGCGGACTTAATGCCGTAAGGCATTCTCTGCCAGTCAACCATTGGGCCAAACAAAAAAAAACACAATAGGTTTGTGCTACAATTATACTAGAAAGTTAATCGATAATTTGAATGGTACAAATAATAATATGCATTTATAGTTATTATATTTATAGCTATATTAGCTTAATAGGAGGTACCATCCACTGTTAATGCAAAGTTAATTGTAATACTGAAATAAACATTTTTATTTTGTATTTTTATTTTATTTTAATATTCTTATATATATATATATATATATTATAATGATAATCGAGTGTTTGGCAAAAACTGCTGCCAGAAAACTAGGCATACTTTACATGGTCAGGCGGTACTTCACACCTGAACAGCTTTTAAATCTGTACAAAGCACAAGTTCGATCCTGTATGGAGTACTGCTGCCACCTTTGGGACAGCTCTGCCCATTACCAGTTAGCTACCTTGGACTCGGTGGAGCGAAAAGCGAAGAGACTAATTCACAACAATTCTCTTGTATAGTCGAAGCTACAAAATCCCGACCTTCGCAGAAAAGTAGCCGGCTTGTCGGTTTTCTATCAGATACATTTCGGGGTGTGTGCGCAAGGACTTTTCAATTTAGTTCCATCCCCACCGTTCCTCCTTCCGTCGACTAGAAGGTCCGGAGCACTCCATTCTTATGTCGTTGATATTCCACCTGTTCGCACCAAGCGCTTTGCTTCCTCCTTTCTGATGCGTACGGCAAAGGAATGGAATACTCTATCTGTATTTCCCGAAAAGTACAATTTGGGGCTATTCAAGGCTAGAGTGAATAGGCATTTTTAGGCAAACGCGTGACGCGTTTCGTCGTATCGTATAGCGTATCGTCGCTTAACATCATGTGAGATTGTGGTCAAGCGGGTGTCTATTATATATAAAAAAAAAGAAAAATAAATAAATAGTATATTTACCCAAAGCAACATTATACAGAGTCTTGATTTTGACAATTATTATATTGCCAGCCGTTTGTACTGTGGGTGTTAGAGAGAAGGTCCCGGTTTCGACACCTGGTAGGCCCTAATTGCCAAACGACCTTTTCTATACTGGTTCAAGCCTAGGTGATCTCGGAGCTAATTTCTTTGCTTGGTTGGTCCGTTGTTTGTTGATATTTTTATATAGATATAGATAAGTAGAAGAAAAACATTATAATTACATAAATGTAGTAAATATGTTTGAGAATTTTGTTTCACGGTGTTTATTAAAATGCTTTGCTTACAAAGTGACAGAATGAAATGGTGCTTGATAAAAGACCAAAAATGACCTTCAGTTTAATGCTAAAAAAATAAGTACCACAAGCGCGACGGCAATGTATAGCTGCCTGTACTACAACTAGAGATGGGGAAGACCGGGTTTTAACCGGGTTTAAATAGGGTTAATACCCATTAACTAATATAACTAAAAACTATTGCCTACTAAATATTTGTTGTAAATCGAGTTTCGTTCAAGTTTAATGATATTATTACAAAATGTGTATTGGTTTCTGATCGAATCGATACAAAAAATCGTTAAATCGTATACCCTTGAATCGATTTTCGCACAATTGGAATCGTAATGTGCATCCTTGGTAGCGATAATCTACAGGATAGAAAGGTAGGTACTGTGAGGAAATTTATAACAAGTATGGAATTATTCCAAATTCGGTATAAGCCGTTTCTGCCCACATTTTGGAAAAACCCCGGACGGGTTAGTTTTAACCCACTGCCCATCTCTGGCTAGAACATTACATATATTTCATTTTAAGTTACACTATGATTGGTTCCAATTTAGAACTTGACGTTAGGTTGGTATCATCTCAGTTACTTAATTCGTTCACCCTGGTGGACTGTAACTTTAAAAGTAAACAGTTCCTTTTTGTGTGGTTGAATGGTGGCAATAATCTCATCAGGCAATGCGGTGGGACTTTTTCACTATCACGATTAACACGTGGCTTATTTGTTTCGTTATTATTGTACTTGTAATAATGATCGTTTCTGCAATTGCTTGTGGTTTATTCGTGCATGGCAAATAAAGGCTATTTATACAGGGAGTTTCCCGGCTATGCCACATGGAGGGAAAATAGCCTTAAATACAGTAGATAAAAAAATGTACTGCAAGAAGACTTCACTTTGATTTTAATAGCAAATGTTAAATTTCATAGTCTTCCTTTTAATCGAGATGCTATGTTATTTAGAAGAAAATAGAATATAATAGAATCTAATATATTTCATACTATCTGTGTCACAATATTACAATTAAGAATACAACGTCAAGGGATGATATGATCGTCACGGCGCGTTTTCAGTATGTCGTGACGACAGAAAATCGTACGATTTTCGTACAGTTTGAAGTGTATTGGCTTGTATATTCAAGTAAATTTGTTCACACATGGTACAACATAATTACTGTCATTTTACGACGACAGACTGTCGTGAAGAGCTAGAACGACCGTCGTCTGACGATAAAAATGCGACGACAGATAATCGCAACTTCAAACGATTTTGTCATACAAACGACAAGGCGGCTGCCGTGAACCGACAAATAGTCGTGATATATGGGAACAGGCTAGACGCGATTGCCATCCAACGTTAAATAAAACGTTTCGCATAATGGGAACGCGCCCTCACTAACACAACAATAACAATGAATATAAAGTAGTATAACTACTGCTTGTCTAAATACAACAAAGTCAAGTAAAACAATGTTACAATTGTTTCAAAAGAAATTCATCGACACTGTCATTGACTTACAAATAATTGGACGACGGGTCTAATACAAAAACCACGAAAAAAATGTCCCAAGTCAACCTATTTAAACGTAGTGACATGTAAAGGAATATGAAAAAGCTTTTAAATTGTAACGTCATCGCAGTACTGTCTAATTTTGCTTGCTTCGCTGTCAGTCGAACAAACGAAGACTAAACCGTGAATGACGCTCTGTATACAATTTTAACGCCCTATAAGTTCGGATACTTTTTAGCGCGGACCCGACGTCCATATAATTGTAAGTCAATCGACACTGTAGAATTTATTATCCAATAAAAGGAGTTTCAGTAGGGTATTCAACGTTTCGTCGTTTGTAACACTTCAGGTCTGTGTCAAAATAATCCTAATGATCGAGGCTTTTCATCAGTATAGTAAAATTACAGGGGGGCTACAATGAGCTTATAAGCAGCCAGCCAAGTTCCATGCAATTTGACATCTAACAAGAGCGAGATGAAACTACAAACTGAATCATATGAAAGAAATAGACAGATGTACTAGCCGGGGAGCGTTCAAGTACTATTAACCGATTGTGTTAAAAATGAGAACAATTATATATTTTTAATAATTTTATTATTGATTATACTTACTTATTATGTTTTATGTAATATCGGCAACTTTTCAATCATACTTTACAATTTGTCGTAAGATAAAATTACATGTAAGTTTGTAATTTGATAACATAATTGGAACGTATCTTGTAATCGTACATTTTCATTGATTAGTGGGTTAAAGTCAAATGTGGCACTATTTAAAAGTTATTTTACGATTTCCGCCCAGTCAAAAAATTATTAAAATTATTAAAATACAATTTGAAAATTGCAATTACATTCATGCTAATAATTCATCAACAATACTCTATAACTATTCAAATACGTTCAATAGTTAATAGTATTTATTTATTGATAATTGGCTATTATATAGCCTAAAAAGATAACAAATAATTATGAAGCTGAAAATACAATAAAACTTAAACGAGATTTCTTAAAACATTTCTCAAAATCTCGACATTTTCAAAAAAAAGTAAGTCACGGTATAACTTTCTTTCAATTGCTTATTTTGACAGGTGAGACCGTCATGATACGATTTCACTATGAAAGAAAAGGTGAACGTATTTCGAATCGGGAACGAAAACGGCATGGACAGTGTTTGTTGTGTGGTCATAGTACGAATTTGACTGGCAATCCAACTTACAGGCTTAAACAGGATTTCTATAAGAGCTCATAGTAGGCCTCCAGGGTGTTTTTTTTTAATTTGGCCGGACAGGTGATTCAAAAAACTATGAATGCAGTTGGAATTGTTTCAGTAAAATTTTCTATCTACGGTATTTAAAATACTTTCCCTCCATAGCCGTGTGACACCGTGTAATAAAGCAGCTAAAAAGAGACAATACTCACTGCTGTATCCAAGGAATGTGATGTATAGATAATAAACGATAGACGCCAGCCAGAACGTATTCGACACCAGACACGAGAGAAACCCTCCATGGACTAGCAAATCTGCAATCGGAAAAGAATTGTCAATATTCTTCTTAGCGAATTCATGATCTTTTTGTTTATAATAAAAACGATCATTTGAGTAGCACAGAGCTTCTTGTGAACTAGTTCGTCCAGGGAACTATTGTTACTTTACCTATTTCGGTGGCCAAGCTGTAATGTCTGCATTACTGTGTTCCAGTCTTGAAGGGCAAGGGTGCTGGTGAAATTACAGGCACGTGGGACTTGTCAACTTATGTCTCAGGGTGACGGACGCAGTGGCAGTGTCCTTCAGATCTTTGCGAATAAGCTCTAATGGCACTGCATCTGTTATGGACAGGCGTGTAGCTTACTTACTTGTTCGTTCAGTCACTTTATAATATAAAAAAAAACTGACTCATAAAAATTCCAGATTTCTCAATAAGTTTACCGATATGTTTAGTTGACATCCCTATTTACGTCGCGATGACAAGTTACAAAATGTGCCTGTTATTTATTGTATATTGAAAACATAATTTGACAAAATTAAGCTACTCATGAGGGTTCTTGTGCTATATTTAAATAATTGTTAAATGCAGTATTCATATAGTGACATTTTCACACCGGCATCGCCGATCGACACCTCGATCGATTACGACTATGAAATAAATGTTAAATACTAAACTCGAAGCAACCGTAAACAATGTCTACTGTTTGATGACATTTTTTAAACACAATTTTATATAACAACTGCCTCCGTGGCCGAAAGGTTACCATGTTGGACTGTCACACTGAGGTCCCGAGTTCGATTCCCGGGCCGTGAGAATTATTTGTATGGTCTACATTTGTTTCTCTCGTGAGTATTATTATTCTATGTTATTACTGTCAACACTTTTTAACCCGTCAGCTACCACAACTCTTACTGCAACGTAATGAGGCTCTGAATACGTACTGTTGAAAAGTAGTATTTGAAAGCAGTGCAGCAGGCTGAGGGGCGGAAAGAACGCGTTGATGTGGACATCGAACGCGTAGCCCCACTCCACGTCTGGTCCGTCCACATCACGACGCAGGTACTTATTGCTAACCACCCTGAAACGTGACAAATTATACTATTTAATAAACAGCTTGATAGCAACGATATTCGATATAAATATTGTAAAAATGATAAAAGTGTATATTTCAAAAAAAGAACAATGCTCAGAGTTTTGACTCATTCTTTTCAGGGAAAAGCGCTTTACGAATGAGTAGTAGAGTTCTGTTTCAAGTATAACTTACTTATGAAATACCAAGACATATTTGAGTATCAATTAAAAAATTAATAACATTACCCCACTCCAACAATTCTTTGCGTGATTATGATGAATCAAATAAAAAGTTAAATGAAAAACCATTTAAGAAAACAAATATCAAACTTGTAATCAATTATTTGTTGATTTGTAAAATTGAAGTCGAATTCCATGGCAGTGGACTTATTCTCTTAACATCATAACTTGGGCCCATCGAGTATATAACCAGAAATAGAGACGAAATGTCATTTAATTTGTTTGAAACTATTCTGCGATATCATTACTGTGACAACTGCGCTCCGATTGGCCAGCCCGAGTTCGAAACAATTGACGGGTGTCGTCAACTGTTTCACTTCAAATCGACCAGTTAACTTGAGCTTTGCTATAATGGACGAAATTTGCAAAATTACATATTTAATTACCGATGAAATATGATTCCGTTTGTTTGGTAATTAGATGCTTTGCCGTTTTTCCCACACCACCGAATAGAACAGCACGGCATTGTTAGAGATATGATCTTTATTGCAATAAATACAGAATATTATTTGGAATATACAGAGTCGTATGCACAGGTCAGTAGTTGGCGTCTATATTTCAGTGCAAACGGGAGTTGATATTTATAAGAGCTAATGTGTTACCAGGAGTATATGGCCCTTATTTCGTCTCTATTTCTGGTTATATACTCGATGCTTGGGCCCTATCGAAACTTTTGAGCTTTTTAGGTGATCGGGCATTATTTAAGTGTGTATGCTCCAGGGTCGACCTCATAGTGACTTTTCATCGGTTGAGATGGAGGTTAATAAAAAAAAATATTATTTACAATGTTTTGCCATAATTTGGGTAATTTTAGAATTCTTCTTATATAAAAATTCGTGTCTTATAAAGTACAGCTCTAAGTGTCGTATTCTAGAACTCTACTCAATACTCAAGTCAGGACTTGAGTATTGCAGTGAGCACTGAAAATCATACTCAAGCCCTTGCCATTAGGGTCGTAGGTCCCGTGCTTGAAATCATACTCAAGCCTGCTCAAGTCCTGACTTGAGCATTGAGTAGAGTTCTGGAATACGACCCTAAGTGTCGTGTGATGGTCTATGAAAATTTGAAGGGACTACGTTGGGCGAATGTGGTTGATGCTGAAGCAGTTTTTTTACACATCGGCGGATGCTTGATTTTGTATTAAAAAAAAAATGAAACGCGAAAAATCTATATCCTTACTGAATCTGTCTACTTGAAAAAGCTTTCTATTTTCTTTGGTATTGTAATAAAATATTATTTCAATGATTTTGTGACATAACAAAAGACTCAATCGTCATGAAAATAATCAATCTGCGTAGCTTAATCATTCTGCAATTTTATAAAAGTTATGTTTTAAAAACTACAGCTCAGCTGCTTTTACGGCTCACAGTCTGTTCCTGGACGGTTTGTAAATTATTCCAGATGCTTTTTAGGTCATGTCACGACTCAAACATCCGCAATGCATATTAGCGTCGATGAGTGACGATGCTAATATTTTAATTTAACCCTGACCCAACCTGCATTATGATGGCTTTGTAAAGACGAGTGTTCTTTGGCATTATCATGACAAATACGACCTTTACGATTCAACAGTTTTCAGGAATTAAAAAACTCAGAACTTTTCCGTTTGTATTTTCAGCGTATACACGACTAGTGGTGACTATATATGGCGGAATTACGTCGTTGTTCTTGAATTTTGTTCAAAAGAATGGCGTAACACAGAACACAAAATTGTAGTTACAAAATTTTTACTGTACTTCAGCGCATGAAGCACTGTTACCATAGTATACGGCGTATTACATTGAGTAATAACCATGGTTATAATAACCCGACGAATCTTGTCGTAGTTGTCGGGTAACTAAGAGTAAATATCAAGTTTTAGAATACTTACAACTCATTTCTCTATCTCAAAATTGTAAATAACGAGCATTAAATATGATTACCAAAACAATGTGGAGACGAGGATTCCCGCGCCGATGAAGTCGACAAACACTACAAACAGTACGAACAGCAACACCTTGCCCCATCCCAGGCCCATCGCCAATGCGAAGCACACGGATGACGCTGGAAAAAACATCTCTTTTTGAAATTTCAGTAAACATATTTTAAAACTAAACATAGTCGTTTATGCTAAAAAAAATCTATGAAGGTTTAATTTCTTACTGATAATTCAGATTGATTTGTTGTTCATGCTAAGTCTAGTATGGACAGACTGCAAGCTGTTTCAAACCTAATTACGTTGTCTTTCAATCACGAGAATGCGACAATGTGTATTTCTTTCGCACAAGCAACAAGTATATTGTATAGTTACTATAATTAATAATAATATTCAATTGTTTTGGACTCTGGGACCCATAGTATTAGTAATAATATAACATAATCTAGTGTTAGTAACAATTGAGTATGTACATTTTAAATATAAGCAGGAGAAAGTAACTCTGTAGCATGGAAATATAATTGTAGTCTAAAAAACAACTAGTTCGCTAATATTAGGGGTTAAAGTATGAAATTGCCGTTTTATTGCAATAGGTTCTTTGAATTTTCATAGAATCTTCATGGTTTGAGGTTTTCGAATGCAATGGCTGACCCCAGGTCAAATGCCACAACAGTGTCCTAAAGCAAAACTTACCAATAAAAAGGTAATGGTAACTGTTTGGTGGTCTCAGCATGGTGTTATTCACTATAGTTTTCTCCGATCTGGTCAAGCAATAACGGCAGATGTCTATTGTGCCGAACTCCGAACCATGTTGACAAAACTAGCAGTAAAACAGCCCCGACTCATGAATCGATCTTCACCATTATTGCTCCACGACAACGCGAGACCTCACACAGCACGAGAAACCATTTTGACCCTTCAGGAACTGCATTTAGAAACCATTCGTCATCCTCCGTATTCACCAGACCTTGCTCCAACGGACTACCATTTTTTTCGTGATTTGGACAATTATCTACGTGACAAGAAGTTTTCTTCCCAGGAGGCAGTACAAAATGCTTTCACACAGTTGTGCAGTCTAGATCGTCGGAGTTCTATCGCAAAGGCATTAATAACCTTCCCATTAGATGGCAGCAATGTATAGATAATAATGGCAACTATTTTGATTAAATAAATTTGTTAAAAATTTAAAAAATAAACAATTTAGATTTTCAGTACAAATCGGCAATTTCATACTTTAACCCCTATTATATCAAATCACTGGGGCATCAAAAATTACACAAGTATATAAAAGTTCACACAGCATAGATACATATCCTTGCAGCGACAAGAAAATAATAGAAGCAAAACATAAGCCTGCTTTTTACCAAATGGTAGATTATTCAATTTTGATCAATTGGAATCAATATAATAATCAGAACAATGAGGTTGAAGCTCCTCCCTGCGCATTAAATTGCCTCCTATTGACTATTGCCTTACAGTGATTGGTTAATGATAAGTAAGAAACACAATTTGCAAGTTCATGAAAACACTCAATGAAAACAATAAATTTATATTCTCATTTTTTAAGTGGACAACTAAATATTGTGTATGAATTAAAAAAATCACATTATTTGCAACAAGATCCATTCAGTACTTTTGTTGGAACTTTCAAATCATGTTTTGTCAATTCCACCCTTTTGTGTTATGACAGTAGCATAGCATTATACTAGTAAAATAAAAAGAAAATGGATAGGATCCGCTTGGCTAACTCTCAAAGTAAATAATTCTTCTCACTTCAGTCCTTCCCAGGCACAAAACTCAAAAACTAGTATTAACAAAATAAGCGCACATTATTGACTGTGATGGCACTATTAATGTGCTTGAGATGAACTTCAGATCTCTCTGTGATATCAAGTTGTCAAGAACTTACACATGAAATGAAGTCCCATGACTTAATAACCAGTTTTCAGAAACATTGCAAATAAGCAGAAATTTATACAGTTCTCAAATGAGTAATTAACATGCACTCTGGTATTTGTTAATGAAAAATTTTCATATTATTTTGTTCCACTTTGTGGCACATATGTATTCAGCGCAGGGTGGCGATCAATGGCCCAGAGACCAAAATTAATGTTCACTTTGTAACTCTTTACTATGATTTACCATTTTCTAGAATAACACAAACAACTGAGTCGCGGCATTACATTGTAGTACTGTAAAGGCGCAAGGCATGTATGTGGTAGACACGTTGTTCCTCTTATTTTAAATGTTATGACCCTGTCGAAGGAATCGATGATTTCGCCTAGATCAAGGTGAGGAACACATGCATTTTTACTCAAAAATTGACCAGTCAATTCCGACAGAACTCACAGAGAGGAGAATCTAAAAATCTACAGTTGACACATGATGTTCTCGAAAATAGTACACAGAGCTACACAAAGAGCAAAGCGCATCTGGATGTTGACAATTTAACACAAATGTTATGTTATTTATTACAATTATGCTGGCTTTTTCAGGTTATATAGAGCATTGAATTGTCTTAGTCTCTTCAGGCTGAGGCCCGACGTTACAGGATCAAGTCAAGAGATGATACGAGGAAAGGCAACATTGGAATCTGTAGTCCAGTACCAAGAAGAGCCTTTTGGTCATTGACTTACAAATAAATGGATTACGGGTCTAATACAAAAACCACGAAAAAAATATCCCAAGCCAACCTATTTAAACGTAGTTACATGTAAAGGAATATGAAAAAGCTAAAACATTGAATTTAAATTGTAATGTCATCGCAGTACTGTCTAATTTTGCTTGCTTCGCTGTCAGAAGAAACAAACAAAGACTAAAGCGTGAATGACGCTCTGTATACGATTTTAACGCCCTATAAGTTCGGACACTTTTTAGTGCGGACCCGACGTCCATATAATTGTAAGTCAATGCTTTTGGTACAAATTTTTGAAATGGGACGTAATATAGGAACACTTACCAAACAACCATACGCTGAGCAGAACTAAAAACGCGGGATCATCTCTTGCAAACTGTGACTTTGTATCTGAAACAAAAAATATTACACCATCATAACAGTTATTACAATATGATATTCATACTGATTACATTGATTAACACAAGACTTGCCATATGAATGCATTCTATTTAGCTCTCCATGTAGGAGCTTGGAGACACCAAAAAGTAGAGAAAAGTACTCACGTTTTCTATAATTAAAGTTCCTAAAGACCTTCTGAGGTGCAATAAACAAGTACACCATTTGCCAGGCTGCAAATTCGAAATCCATTTGGTTGAATTTAAACAGCCGTCTCAAGTATTTGTAGCGTTTGACCGCGGCGCTGGCCACGGTCGGCTGGTAGTTGGCAGGCGCCGGCAACGGAGACGTACTCCTCGGATAGTTTGGATAGTGATGGTTAGCCGTAGGGGTTGGCGATGTAGGGTACTTCATTCCGACTATTACGTTTATCCTACTAACACTTCAAATTTACAAGTCAACAATTGTAGAACTCGCAAGGCAATACTAGAATGGTTTCTTTATCATTTAGAATGAACTAAGTTACTTCTTTTCGGAGAAAACTTGTGAAAATATAATAAAGCGTTCGATTGGGCTAGTTCGAGTTGTCATTTTTGGAAGTGATCAATGTTGTTTTTTAAATTCTTCCCTTTAAAGAAAATGCAAAGGTTTAAAATCATACAGCCATGTCTTGGTGAATTTTTCATAAGGCATCCGATTGACAAGAGTAACGGAACGAGGAGCTGTGAATACCTAAGCAGTTCCTTTTTTTAAACTAGATGGCGCCATCTACACCTAACCTAACTGCAGACAATGTTATTTTTAACCGACTTCAAAATAGGAGGCGGTTCTCAATTCGACTGTATGTTCTTTTTTTTTTGTATACTATATGTTACGGGATAACTCCGGTATTTGTGAACCGATTTTCATGATTCTTTTGTTGTCGGAAAGGGGGTACTTCCATAGTGGTCCCATTACATTTTGAAGAAAATCATACACCTCGAAGGGTGGCTGTTCACGCATGAAGATTCATTTTTATAAATAGCGCCTAACTTTAATTTAGGAGCAATTACTTTAATGGTTGATTTTGCTATTTCTCCAATTCAAGGCGTTTTTCTCTCAATATACTTTGAGTAGTGTCGTAGTGAGAACCTATTTTTATTATCTCCAGTGTCAAGTCCTGTATAGTGGCGAACTAGGGGATATTTCAATAAAACTTAGCAAATAGACGTAATTCCACATACTTTTGAGGTCGGTTTTTTTGGTACTCTGTACTGAGATTACTCTTAATTTTTTCCTCAAACTAATTTACGTATTTGTAAAATAAGTAATTCTACAAGTTACTTACTACATTTTTAGCTACCGTTTGCTTAATTTTTGAAACAAATGACAGTATTTAAAGGCGATCCCTAATGTTCCTCTAGATGTCGCTACTTACACTTAAAACATTTTTATTTAGCTACACCAACAAAATAAATTTAAAATGAAAATCAAAATTATTTTCTACGCAATGTAATAGAAAAGTCTATAAAAATAAGCAAATACTTTCATATCAAATGTTCCGTACCGGAAGCCTTTGTTGAACATCTAATTGTGATTAGTATAAATGTTTACTATATTGTGAAAGACCAAACACTACATAAGAGGATTACCTGCGTCTTACAATTTATATGAAGACCTTTCCTTCCTTTTCCTTTTACCTATTTTGTAAAAACAGGAGCTTCAGTTTTTATTACACTATTGAAACATAATAGGTAAGCCGTTGTTGCAGATGTCTATTTCTGTCGCCAGACAGTAATGTGAGTTTTATACCTACTACGTTCCGGATTTGAATGGCAAACGGGTAGGCGTGTCGCTTACGGGGCGTAGCACTTTCTTGAAGACGCGCGGTGTGGAAAACTTGCGTCAAAGTTGAAATGCTTAAATACATAATGAAGCCATTTGTATTGCCTGTATTTTGCTGGAATTGGCTTACGAAAATGTAGACCCATACTCGATGGGTAAACCCATACGAGTCATCGTAAATTAAAAAACAGAAAACTACACTGTGAAATAAAAGCAAAAAGACTAAACGAAGAAATTTAATGAAAAAGACTGTAGATTCACGAGATGACAGGCAATAATGATTCGAGTCATCAAATCTTCGTGCTTTTTATGTACAATTTGTGTTGTACGTTGGTTTGTTGGAAAAAAATACGTGTATTCAATTTAGATCCGAAAAAATAGTTAAGTAAATTTTTTGTTGTCTTACATATTTTTTCATATTTTTTATTCAACCTACCAAATCGATATTCTAATTATTTACTAACTTCATGATGTAATAAATAAATATTTTATTTTAATTACTTTAGTTTAAGGCTTATTTATTACTTGCCTTATTTACGTTGCCTGGTAAATAATTTAACTACCTTTATTATTGTTGTTGTTTTAAAAATAGTATTTATCACTAAAACAAATAAACTGGTAGAAAGAGAGGATAAAAAATTATTCAATAAAGTTTAGTTCCTTTATTTGAAACTAGATGGCGAATCCTACACCTAACTAAAATTATTTAATTTACTTCATATTTTCCACAAGCTGAAAGTTTACATGTTTGTAGTATACACTAAAACAACAAATTCTATGCGATACGGGCCACATTTTTAGCTACCGTTAGCTTAATTTTTTAAACAATATGGTGTGATGTTAAAGGACTGTTCCCTAATGTTCCTACAGATGTCGCTACTTACACTTAAAACCTTTTTGAATAGCTACCACCATCGAGTATAATGGTTATGTACTCGACGGCTACCACCAACGAAATAAAAAATGAAAATAAAAATTATTTTCTTCGTAATTTAATAGAAATTGAAGAAAAGTTAGATATTTAATGTTCCGTACCGGAAGCCTTTGTTGAACATCATAATTTTGAATTAACAAGAAATATATAATACAATATAAAACAATGTTTACAGTATTGTGGAAAACCATACACTACATGGGTGGAATACTTGCACCCATTAGAATATATCATGGCCGTTCACTCCTTTCACCTATGTTGTACAAACAGGAGCTTCAGCTTTTTATTACTCTATTGTTGTTATTACTATATTTCTGTCTCCAAGCAGTAATGTGAGGTTTATACTAAGCTACATTCCGGATTTGAAGTGTAAACAAAATTGTAATTACTTACTAACCTCGCTTAATGAATAAATGAAAGTTTAAGTTATTAATTGCAATAAAAAAAATAAAAAAACTTAACTTCTTAAGTAACTAATTATAAAATCACAGGAAAAGTACAAAACAGAATAAAAATAATTAAAAAAAATAAACCAACCTCTTTGTATAAAAAATATTAGCAGAGGTAGCTAACGAACCTCTAAACGTGTTCAAAGCTGCTTCGATTTGTTCAAATCAACCCCAATGGGTACTCTACAAAATAACAAACACTGAATGATTGCAAGTTGTGTGTTTAATATTTTAGCAATAAAACAATCCATACAACATGCAAAGTTCAACTCACCATTACGTAAGTACATTCTTCCAGTAATATTCTTACAACTATTTTTGACGATATTTACTTTTGAAAGTTACACGACCTCTCATTCAGTTTTTGGCCCGCGCACACTGACAGGTGTGGGGCTCGGTGGTGCCTAATTATAAACATAATTCCCAGTGCTTTTCATTCAAAGTGACTTCGTAAACGCATTTGTTCTAAGCTCCCCGAGCCTACGTTTATATTTTACCATATCTACGAAGTATTTACACAACTTGCCGTATTTACGTTGCCTGGTAAATATCTTGTTCGTTTTAGCACAAAAGGTTAAAAAACACTTGAAGCTTGACAATCGTCTTGAAAATTGTCGGCGTCCGGATTAGTTCCTGGAATTACATTTATATTTACCAAGTTTTATTGGAATCGGTTACAGGAAAGAGCGCGAAACCGGATTCATCCCCTTGTTTACCACCCTTAGAGGTCGAATGTTTTCTTCAAATTTAAATGGGACCACTTCTGAGGTACCCTCTTTCCAACAAAAAAAGAATCATCAAAATCGGTTCACAAATTTGAGTCATCGCGTAACATGCATACAAAAACAACAGAGCAGAATTGAGAAAAAAGAAAGGGGGAGGTTCGTTTTTTAAAGTCGATTGAAAATTAATTGCCAATTGTACTGTTGAAACTCAATTACCTAACAAATGTGGATAAACATCTGAAGGCCCCCATATACAAACGATATTCCTTCGATCATTTGTCAGGGTCAGTGGCAGATAAATAAACAAAAAGGTTGTGCTTTGGACGGGGCGCGCGGGAGGCTAGGTTGGGCTTGCGAGTTACATTTAAGGCCTGGGCGGGAACTTTCCCGACACGCCCCCAAATTCCAGGTACGCCCCGCCCCTTTCCCAGAAATTCATACAGAATCGCATATTCCTGTCGCATCTGAACTATCGTGATTTCACTCGGAAAATCGATTCATTCTAGAAACTCAATCCATGGCCTCGAACCTTTGATAATCGAATATTAGATTTTTAAATGTGCAGGATATCTGATATGAGCTACTGTCCTCTTGCAGACAAGAAGGTCTATCTTCGACAGTCTCTGTTGGCGAGATGCTTGCCTAGTGGGATTTCAATATAGAGGGAGAAAGGGGAAGAAATTGAAAATCTTTTGGGCTCGTAAGAAACGTACTTTATCCAGGATTTTTACAATGACAACTAAAGAACAAAAGCAAAACGTGAACGGTTTACAAAATGTAGAAAAACAAAGAATGATAAACTGTATTATTATTGGTTTTAAGCACGCAAGGTTACGCACGTTACATTTTTATTGGTTTTAAGCTACTACACGCATAATGTACAACACAAATGCACACACGGAGCGAAAGACACGAGAGACGAATGGAAGTAAAGACAATAGCGTAAAGTTTTAAAAACCAAAAATGGTTTTTAACTTACATTATTAGCGCTGACGATACCTTACAGTGTCGTAAACTATTTTCCAACAATATGTCTTCATCTTTTTACAAGTATGTCAAAAAAATAACTTCGCAAAAGTAAATAAGTACATCAAAACCATTTAAATTTTCCGCGCTATGGATTGAATTAAGTAAAATTCTGTTTGGTGTAGTTACCATAATGTTTACATAAAAGTTCTTGGATTAGAGTTTAAACTGAGCCGAAATATCTTAGTCATTAAATAAAATAAAATAAAATAAAATAAAATATCTTTATTTTCAGACTACAGGGTCCATACATTGTTAGTAAACATAAAAACCTTAATAACTATGTTAGTACTACAATAATAATAATAATAAGACATACTTGCTAAAGGGTACACCGCTGTCGGCAGAGTCACCGAGGTGCACGAGTAGCGTGCAACTCGTTGAACCTGCCGAGCACTGCACCATCTAGCCTTCCTTCAACTACCTGTAAAAGACTGTTGGAGCTTCCCCTCACTCTTTGAATTAGAGAAGCAACTTTTTTACGCATAAGCGCAAAAAAGTCGTCTGTGTGCGCATCGGCCAACATGCCCGAAGCACTGCAGTGTCGAGGAAGTCCCACCATCACCCGAAACAGGTTGTTGTACAATATGCGCAGGGCGCTGTATGATTTTTGGGAAT